TTTGATTCTCTCCTCTTTCATCATCAACTGCTTCAAACAACAAGGCGCCTGTGGGAACAGTTGTTACGTTTGTAGGGTTGTCCATGTTTTAGGTTCTGTTAAAGCACTTTGTTACAGCTGCTGTGAACGCGCTACAAAAATGCGTATTGTACCGTATTATAATGACACGTACACTGCGCGTGCGGATGTTTCCATGCACAGCGTGGACTTTGACTCGTCTTGTTCTGTTTATTTCTATTGTGCAAGTAGGCGGTTATCATGAATACCGCGTGAGGGGAGCAGTCGCATTAATTAGAGGACCTGTAGGGCTGCGGCTATCAAATATTTGTAGAGCTGAGTAGTCTGCCGATTATCCCATCCCTTAATCTGATAAAAATGGATTCTGCATCATGAAACAGCAACATGAGAGGTGCGGGTATTATTTATCAGGGTCACATTCTTCACAAGCAACTGTATATATGTGGCTTTAAAACGCAGCCCGGGGCTGGTGAGTGATGTGGGTGTCAGTGAATGAGCGTATCGAGATGGCTGTTGTCGGCTCAGGTTAGCGGCTGGCTGCTAACTGGCAATTTGTTAGCCTGTCTGGTTGCTGTTTTGTGGCTCGGTGAAAGATGTAGAGCAGCTAATGTACGAGTGTGCTTATTCAATTTATTTTGTGGTCCCAGGTTAGACCATTATGTCCAAGATGTGTGAAAAAAAAAAAAAAAACAGAACAACAAAATAAGATAAAATAAATACGATAAAGAGAGATGCTTATTTACAGTTTTAATGTGTGCATCCAGCAGAATGAAAATGCAAGAGACTTGAATTGCACATGATGTTTACAATGCTTATTTCAAGCCTTCTGGATTATCATTAAAAATGTCGATAGCGTTGTTTTGATGGGAAACTAAACAAGCGGCAAAATTCAACTTTAACTCACGTAATGGCTTAAAGAAAAAGAAGAATAAAGACTCACCAGCTAAATGGTCAGTTACCAGATAATCCGTCCTGTAAATAGGGAAATTCCCGTCAGCCTGCCAGCTTTTGCCTTTGGGCACAAAAAGAAAAGCAAGAGATTAGTATTGTCTGAATAGTCAGAGGATATAATTGCATTATAAGAGTGAAGTCATATCTTGAGAAGTCAGAATATTCCAAATTTACAATTAGCCGCTTTTTGCCTTCATTCAGTGGTCATTATGCTGCTCCTTCTGATCTGTGCACCTCATTCATGCATACATAGAGACAGAGGTGACATCATGACTCCTCAGCAGTTCTATTAGTTGTTCTTCCCAGAGAATAAAAACATATCCAGAGATTTCAATACATGTTAAAGCTGGAATTACAATATAGATGATTCTGCAATATTTCCGCTCACGGCTACACTGCCAGAAAATGACGGTGGCCCATGCATACCATTTGTGAGCCCATCTATGGCATATAATGAATTACCGTTAAAACAGTCGACTGTTACATAGCTGTGTGCTTGTTTGAAATGTGTAATTCTTTGTTGTATGACCTTTCCCAAATTTACTTTGAGTACCTGAAAAACTGTTTACTATGTGACAAACTGCAAGAGAAGAAAAACGTGACCAAACCCCAAAACAAAAACAGGTGGGCTGTGACATTCGCCAAGAAAAAACAGGGCACTTAGACATACATTTTAATTGACAGCAGGGGGTGATGTTGCAAAAAACGTCATCCTCTTTGGGTGACTGGGGTGGACTCATCTTTAATTTTGATTCCACCAAATGTATTATTGATCGGAATATCGTGTTTAGTCTTGTGGGGACACAGAACTTCGGAAAGAATTTTTTGGACTTAACTTTCACTTCAAAAAAACGTGTTTGAGTCACAAATTTTGAATCCTCGTTTGCTCTAGCTGGCTCAATTTGGATTGGCCACTCTGCATTGATGATACAAACACTTTAAAAAGATAAACGCAAATCCCCGATTAGGGATTTAAGTAGCTGTGCGTGTGAGTGTGCGTACGTGTGTCTACTGACTGACAGCTGCGAAACGACGTGGAAGCAACAAGAAAAATTCCTTCTCCTCTAAACGACAATCGGTGTCAGGATGTAAAGCATCATTGCAGACATAAAATGAGCGTAATCGTGAATATACGGCAGTTGCGTGTCCGTTTTATCCCAATTCGGCTATAAACTTTGCTCGAAGGGCGAGAGGAGAGTGACACGTAGCCGCGAGTGCTAATGCTAATCGGCTAACCCCTAGCATTTTTTTTAAACTCCTAGCGAGCGTTGCGACACGATTTCCCGAGCTACGCCGTAAATAAACAATTAAAATGACTGCGAAGTAAACGGTGGACGAAAATATTAAAATCGTATGAAGATCTTTAAGTCTAAGGTACGATCGTGGATGTGTCTTCGGTGAGCCATTTTGTTCGACAAGGTTATTAAAAAGTACCAAGTGGGACTAACTTAGCATTAGCTTCCACGACTACAATTGCTGGCTGGCTACGTCCACGTATGCACAGTTGCTAACCGAGGAGGCGGAGGAAGCGGAATGACACGGAGTCCAGGCCAGAACACACGCCGTGGTCCAAAAAAACGAGACGGAGGTTCGGCAACGAAACCCGGCCTGGTCAGGTCCCATCCCGCTGCGATCAATCGAGCCACCTGACTCCACGTTTGTACCAACGCAGCAGATGTCAACGACGTGCTAAAACGTGACAAATCGTGCAAACGCAACCACTTACTTGTTTTTTGTGTGTTCTCGTCTGCCCAGAAGGTGCAGAAGCAGAGATGAAATTCCACTGGCGAGGAGGTGGGAGTGACGCGTGACGCATATATACGAGCGACGTCCACCAATCGTTGGCCGTCGACGTCACGATAGCGTCCGGTTACAAGGCCGGAGCACCACGTACTCTTTAGCTACGCTTTCGCCCACTCGAATTACAGTGGCGTGGACCCTCTGTAAACGCGAAAAATCGGGACTGGGCCGGCTCGCGAATCGCGAAAATACGCTTATAATAATCAGTAAATTTATATTTCTTTGAACCCCCAAAAAATATTCCCCCCCCCTACCCCCGAGACTAAACCGTCACTAAGCATTTTCAATTTGTACATATTTATATGCATATATTTTTTTATTGAAAAAAAAATCCACTAATGGATAAATCAGTGTGTGCCGAACCACGAGTATGGGGAGGGGTCCACTGTATTTTGAAACTAGACTGACTCAGATGAGATGATTTTACTGTATCAATTCAGTGACTTGAGTAAGTGGAGTCACCAGAAAACCACCGCAAACTCAGATGACTGGGTGGACTCATGTAAATGGTGTGAAATGGGTTGTGGAGCTAAAAATTGGATTCAAGTAAAAATCGACCTACTATTATTTCAAAATACAAGATACCAATAAAGGAAAAAGTAGTCCTACAAATAATTACTGTAGTGCCTTGTAGTAGGAGTAAGCCAACTGGAGGTGTGCAAAGTGGGGGCAGATGGGGTGGGGGCCCCGTTATCCACCCGAGTACCGAGTACCCATGCACCCAATTGAAGACATTTTGCAATTTTGATATTTTACCAAGAAACATGAAGTCGATGCACAAAATTTGCTTTCGCGGGCCACTCAAAATGATTCGATAGGCCAGATCTGCTGCACCAGGCCTTGACTTTGACACCTGTGTTCTATGTCCTCTGAGAAAATTAACTAAAATGACTTCAGCTCACAAAGTAGTCCTTATGCAACTTTTCTTAGTTTGTTTCGTCGTCATTGTATTACACTGCCCCCCTGTGGCTTGGTGTCATATACCAAAAGAGTCACTATGATTTACTCATGATGCATAGACGGTTTAATTCTTTATGTTCTATTTCATTATGTAACTACCATATGTTTGTTTTTTTATAAAGTACCATATAATATTGGAGGGTGCTATTTTCCTTTGTGTTTGTTTTTTAGGCAGGCTGGAATAGATCACTCGAACTTTTAGTGATTTTAGTAATCTCAATGGGGGAATATGACTTGAGTTATCACCATGGACATGGAATGACTTAAATTCATATCTCAAGGCACCACTCTAATAGGGATTGAGAAACTTTAGTGGACTTTCTCATGAACTATATTGTCCACTATAAAACAAAAAAAAACCCTATGCATGATGACTGAGGAGGAAATGAGACACTGATTCCCAACACAGCCTTCGGCAGCACTGTAACATGGATGACATTATCACTATCTCTATTCATCAATCAATAGTGTCTGAACAAAAGTCATGAGGCACTGACGCCAATCAATCACTCAATCAATCAGAGCCTTTGGTTGTCTTATCTTAATTCAAAGAGAACCGTATTCTTCCATCTTTAATGGAAACAGTTTGGGGAGGGCCCTTTTCTGTCACAAAGCCAGGTCCATATAAAGACATGCTTGGATGAATTGGGGGCAGAAGAACAACCACGGAGCGAATGGAGACGATGGCCAACATCGCTGACATCACAAACTGACTGAACTGGAGTAAGTGACATTTGCTGTTCTATGGTTATCATTACCTCACAGATGGACAGACACCCAAATGTTGAATACTTGTTCTTAACCTTAAACGATGGTATTGAATTTGATTCATTGTCGAACAATAAATACATTTGCCACATAAATTCAAAATATGCAAATACTGTATAAAAATATAATTTTTTGGGGGTACAAACAACAATAAACTTGGGTAAACTGCCACTATATACCTTTTGATAAAAATAACGTTTTCCCCAAAGTGATAAAAGAAATATTAATTACAAAATTACTAACAATATTATTACAAACATCTGTCCTTTTGTGCTCATAATTTTCTGAAAGCGAGTTTATATAAAGTCAATTATTATTAATCATTTTCAAGGAAATGATACATGCGTCTTGATCACCAAATTTGGGCATTGATTGTATAACCCTGTAATTTTATCAAATCTAATGTAATATAATATCTAATATAATAAAAAAAACAATAATAATATCAAATACAATGTTTTATTTATGTGTGAATTGTACACATTGAACTGCACTAGTCAGTTGCCACAACAATGGCGATTCCGCTGCACTAGGGGACGCTGCTTGCCACAACTAACATTTCTACGCCTTTTGACTCGCGTTTAGAGTGAGTTTTTAAAGTATTCTATCTGCATCACAGAAAATTAGACGCTTGACTTCGCTTCGAATTTGCCTAAATGACGAAAATAGCCGTTAACTTGCCCCATGACCTCTTCGGAGAAACGTGTCTAAATTTGTCGTAAAACCTGTTTCCTTGTCAGCGCGAACTTTAACCCAGTTGAAGACACGCGACTGGGGGCAAGTTTAACAATGTGACACGCCCTGTAGTTGTTTCCTCGCATGAAACTTTAGTTAGAAAAGAGAAGCTTTATAATTGTCATTTCTTTTAATATTTACCGACGTGATCTGTAAACACGTTAATCCCTCCCACCCATCACGGCTAATTTGAGCCGAGAATGAGGGAGGCGCTCAAACTGGGCTAGCAATCCAGACGCCACATCTCAGCCAATAAGAAGCAGAGTTGGCGCGCCACAACCAATCACAAATCGGCGTCGGGTGCGCACTTACTTTGGACGACTGGCCGGGGCCATGGACGGGACGAGTCGTCCCTTAGTTGAGATCCCAAACTTTTAAACAGCCGTCTTTCGACACCAGCCCGTTCGGTAAGTGTCTTTTTTTCTTAAAAACAAATTCATTCTAATTCTCTTTTGTCCTGCGTCACGTTTATGTCATCGTCAATTTAGCTCAAACCTCGTGAGTTTGATCTTCCTTCTTGAGCCGCAAAAAACAACGCCACGTTAAACTTTTTTTTTCCTCCGTTGGAATATGACATTTAACTCGTTTGGCTCTTTTTTTTTTAAACAATGACAATTGGAACTGTAACGCAGCGAGGGGCTTTAAAAAATAATGTTTGTGTATTTTTTTAACCTTCAGGGGGACAATAATCGTTTACCAACCAAAGAGTTTAAATCAAAATAGAAGGCCACATTTTAAGAATGGTGAAATATGAGCAATTGAAATTCACCCATGGGGTGCTTGTAAATGTTCAAATTAGTGCGATTTACAGTAGATAATTCAGTCATTGTGAGCACAACTATAAAATCGATGAGAAACAGATCGTGAGCCACATAGCCAGAATACCTGTACTAACCACAAAAAATCAAAAAAACACAGTGGACTTTCACTTTTCTCAGGGGTGTTTGCGACCAAACTCGGACACCAATAGCAACAAAAAAAGTTTATAATTGCTTATATTGATAGTTTAAACCCAAAACATACCCCCAAAGTATGCTCCCAATCTCACCGCACATCACCTTTTAAAGGGAGACCTCACAAATGTACATTTGTAGCAGCAAAACTTAACATTTACGTCAATGTATTTTTTTTTTTTTTTTTTTAAAAATGTAATTGTAGGTGAGGTAATCGCTAATTATATTACATAGGCGTGCCTGCCCTACAGGTGCCTGCCTTGTTTCACCGCCATCTTTGTGCTACCGAAGGAGAAAAACATATCGAACTTAGTTTCACAACATCATGGCTATAGCATGTGTAACAAATGCCATCCACTTACTCCATCATTTGAGGGAAGACTAGAAGTCGTTTTGGATGACATTTTGCCTGCACTTCTGCTGCAGAAATTGTTAGGCCTGCAAAGTGTGGTCTCGCTGAGGCTCTGTCTCAAACCTTGATGATGTATGTAAACAAACACACATGGAAACGGCCATTGACCCAGCTGACCAAGTCGGCCCAAAAAAAAAAAAAGGGCCCATTCTCTTCACAAGGATAAATCAATAGTTATTATTGTGACAGTCCTTGCTCATTTCAAGCCTCTTGTCTTCCTTCTTTTCTCAAAGGAGCCGCCCACTTGGACGCAGTCATGGGTGAAATCGAGGGGTCCTATCGGGTCCTTCAGACCCCGGGCACGAGACTGGGCGCCCAGTTCAATGCAGGCATTAGCACATTGGAGCCAGGCCAGAGCCTCAGCACCAACGTGGTTGTGGTCGGAGGCACCCCCGGCGTCAAGGGTCCCGGTCGGGGTCTTCAAGTCCGCGTTCAAGGTCTGGACGAGTCCCAGGAGTTCTTCGATTTAGACGTGAGTGTTTCTTCCACCTTCCTGACACGATGGGATAAGTCTGCTGTTAGTTAGCCGTGCACAGCAGGGCCACGTTTGACCCGGTTTGTGAGTTGGTGACAGCTGCAATGTGGCTTTGCCGAGAAAATCCCTTCCCGTCCGTCTTACGCCGTCTTATTTACCACCTCCAGACTGTTGAAGTTGAAAGCGCCTTCTTCCTATAATTTTGAGGTATTGTCTTTGCCGAGAACATCGGCTCTTTTGATTGGATAATGATTGGGTGTATTGTTGTCTCAGTCTGATGATGATTTTAGTATCAGTAAGCCGAATTGGATTTTTGCTTTGTAATGATTAGCTCAAACATAATCACTGCTGAGTCATGTTTACAAGACAATGTCCACTCAGCTTTTTCGATACGTGGAGCTCGAGCAAGGCAATATGGCCTTTAAAAAAAATAATAAATAAATAAAAAAATTGGCTCACTCCGAGGAAACAATTTAGTTGGAACCCCACCACCACCACACACACACACACACACACACACACACACACACACACACATTTTCAAACTACAAAACTACACTGAAATGGTTAAGTGTTATGCTTTGTGATTAACTATAAATAACCGGCAAGTGGACTCGAACGTCAATCTCATTACCATCAAAACAATCGTGATGATGTGAATTCATCTGGATTCACGATTGGCTTAAATCCGCTTGGCGATAGCTGCATCAAAATGAGAATGATCCGTGGCGGTTTCTGCGATGAAAACTTTGTCCACCAGCTTTACATAATAATTATTTGTTTTTTTATTTTGGTCAAAGTGTCTGTTTAGCATTACTTGTCACGTTGAGATATTTAACAAGTAATTCCAAAGCCAGACTTGGAAGTTCCTTGTCCTTTTCTGATGAACGTGACTTTTGAGGGAAGTCTCCAATGATGTGCTTTCACTGTCGGCCTGCCAACTTGCCGCAGTCAAGTCATTCACATAGGAAGCAATAAGGAAGTCGATAGAAATGAGCCTCTTTCCTGTCTTTTTAAGTCAGCCCGGTGTTAAATCACCGACGTGAAAGAAGCATTCAGGACTCACTGATGACGTTGTGTAATTAAATACTGCCTCTTAATAAATCCTCCCGTAGCCTCAGCAGTTAGAATTCTGTGGTGCACTGCTGAGACGGACATTTTATAATCCGAGGCGCCATATGTTGTCTCAAACTCTGTAACTAATAGTCAAGTTGAATTAGTTTAGACGTTGGTCCATGCAGAGTTGAAGAATTTCATTTCGAAAGTATTTGAAAGATGGGTTTTGAAAACCTGGAGATGGATTTAAATGGCCCTCAACTTGACCTTCATGTTGTATGAGAGGTTGAAAAATCTTTTTCCAGTTCCTGTGTAAGAAAACATCATTGTCGATCCGCACAAAAACACACTTGTCAGAGAAGAGCATTCGGGATGACTTGTGCCGATAAGAGGATCACATTGTTTGCCTTTTTTGAACGGGCTTTCTGACATCATGTCATCAGCGGCGTAACGGTAGAGCCGCCGTTCATTTGACTGTGAAAACCTGCTTGCTTTGCTGACCGGCCACTGCATCTACTGGAAGCCCCTTTCACACTTTGCTGACAAATTGATGTAATGGTGGACCCGACATTCATTCAGCCGTGCTCATTCAGACAAACATCGCGGAAGTGTGCTGTTTGCCGTGCGCTTTCATGCAGCTGTTGCAGGACGAAAGGGATTTGAGGCGCACCAATTTCAGGTTACTTGCCCCGTTTCTAACGCTCTAGTTCGCTCTACGTAATTGCCGACGTTTTGATCGCTGCTGTCGGATGAAAAAGAAGTCCGATAACACGCAGTTGCTGGTGCGATTTTTGGCTATTGCTCTTTTGGCTAGTCACGGTGTTCTTTTTTTAAACCCCTTTCAAACGGCCTTTGTGATATAATTGTCGTCATGGTAAAGCCTGCATTTATTTGACGGTGCCTTTCAGGCGGAACTCGATGAACAGTAACATCGTCGTGTGCTTTTCACGATGTGGGGGCAGTAACAATTGCTTTCGACACAAAGTGGTCTGTTCTCAAACATTAAACACTCTGATAATGGCCTCCCGCTTAATGCTGCGGTCAGACCAACCGCGGGCTGAACGTTTCGGGCGCCTTTTCAATGCAGTTGGTGTTGTCAGGCGCGGGTGAAGCGTTTTGAAGCAAACGTTTTTGCTTCTTCGCCGGGGGTTTGCTAATGTGGGGCTTTTTGTGGCGTCGCGTGGCTCACACCAAGTCGGCAGACACGAACGGTGTGATGAAATAAACAGTGGGGGACGTATTGCGATCTTTGAGGACCAAGAGGTATACGACGCAGCCAGTTTCCAATCCGGTCCGAGCCAAAACCGAGCAGGCTTGAAGAATGGGGAGCGAAGAAGTTGGCTGTCTGGTGAATGTATGGACTTGTTTACAGCCGTTAACTTGTCAACCAAGATAGCGTTTAGCAGCCAAAGTAATGAAGCAATCCCCCCGTGTAACTAACTCTCTTGCAAACAAAAGCACGCGAGACGTGATGTCCAGCAGGCTGTAATCTGCCAAGAAACAAGATGGCCACTGAGTGCCTCTCTTCATTCAGTGCGAGCGAGGCATCGTGGGCTGGTCTTCTCTCTTTTGTATAGCAGCACTGTTGAGCCAACAACGCTGTTTCCAATGGATGCTTGACTTCCAGCGGGAACTTGTTCCAAATGTTTAGTTCTTGGTCTGAGGAGCAGCTGCAGCCCAATTATGATTACTTTTTTTTTTTTTTAAATCCAGGATTGTGCCCTTTTCCTGTATACCGTGTACCAGAATAGACACCAAATTGCAGTGGTGAATGTTTGAAATGGTTGTGGCCTTTCAAGCGACCGCCCTGCCTTCCCTTTTGCACTTTTTGTCGTACTTGGGCTCACGGTCCATGTGAACTGGTGCGCTCGCCGCACGAAAAGCAGTGCGGCCTTGCTCGGTGTGTGTGAATGCTGACAGTCGGAGTCGTCGGTACACGCTGCAGAAAGCTGGGAAATGGGAAATGTCAGACTTCAGACGGGGAAAGTGGCATCGAATGCTACTCAAAATTGATGTATGTAGATCATAATTATTCAAAAAGACTTATCGAGCCTACCATATGTCTGTATATAGTGTCCAAGAATATGTGTGTATTGATCAAACAGTAAATGGTGAGAGGCCCGAAGAAAAATGAATGCGGCTTAATAAAACCAAACGCATGACGTAACTTCATTTTTAGTACATTCGGTCATGTTTTTTTTTTTTTTTAGTCCGTTCCACTGGCATCAGGTGTTGTCCAAGTTATTTCATGATCTCCATTTTTATTTTTTAAATGAATTTTTTTAGCCGGCATTTTCTTGCACCGAGGCCCCTCCCGCCGCCGGTGCAGGAGAAAGCCCGGCCTTGTGGTCACTGAAACACAGGCTCCTTTGATGCGGCGCGAAGCCTTGCCCCCCCTCCCCCCCTCCGCTGGGCCTTCACTCGTATGCGGAGCCTCGCCGCGGACAGACGGCGCTGCATTCATTAGATGTGGACGGGCTCTGCTTTTCGGCAAACAAGCACGTAAATAGCAAAGTTGACAACCGCAAGGCGTGCACGAGGAAGACGAAGAGGGAGTGCAAAGTTTGAGCTCGTTGGCGGGGGGGGGGGGCGGAAGCAAAGTTTGGGTCAGGAATTTTTAACCACGGGGGGGAGAGAGAGCGAGAGTGCGTTACGGCTATGTTTCGGATTATGCAACAGGTTTAATGTTATCATATGCTACTGAAATTAATGCGTCGAAGGCAGACCAAGGAACAGTCAAGAGTTGTTTGGTGCCATCTTTTTTTTTTTTCTTTCTTCTTTTTTATAAAGTCGATTGTATATGCGTCTCTGTTGGTTGTGCTTTATTGAAATGTGTATTTCAAACAATCACGTCGTCTCTGTTAGCTTCATGCTAACACATAATGGGGAAACGCTTTAGACGGGTTAACAAATCCCCTCGATGTCAGGGGTGTCAAACTAATTTTTTTGTCGCGGGCCACTTCGGAGTTACGGCTTCCCTCGGAGTGCCGGTGCAAAATTACCCATGACAATTTGACATTTCGGTCCAGATTTCGGCAAGAATCTTGAAAGTTGACACACATGATTTGCTCCCGCGGGCCACATAAAATGATGTGGGGGTGCAAAATGAGTTTGACACCCCCGCGTTAGATTGTGCAAACCATGTTTAAGACGGACCTTGCTTTTCGCTAAAGTCGTGGACCTGATCCAGGTTTCACAGGTGCGTTGAGTAGACCAGCTTTTGATCCTGATTACTGCGTATTCTCACACGTTTCCTCAACACTTGCGTGTCGAGAATAAACGTGCGCTGTCGTTGTTTTAACTGGGTATCTTTGCACAGTAAACATTGGGTTGTTGATAGAAGATCCACCCTGGATCGAGGACACCATCTAGACATAGCGTCTCCCAGCCGAACAGCTGCTTTGTCCTAATCCGCGGCCGCCACTTTCTCTGATTGCGTGACCCGTTAACCCGCCTTAGTGCTCGACTTCTGAGGCACGCCGCTTGCCGACACGTCACTATGTCGCGGATTTGCGCGAAATTACAAATGCCAGATGTGCTTTTTAGGTCGGAGCCCACACACTCGTTTGCATTTCATCTTGGATTGTTGATGTACTCATGGTACCTTTTTACACTGAGCCTAGCACGGGAGGGATATTGCCCCAACTGTTTTCAACCCAGAAACGCCATATCGCAAGTCGGCCAGTTTTCGCTGAGATGGCTCAAAAATGGGTTCATAATGCTGCCGGTCAAATCTTAACTGGAGCACGTAAGAGGGAGCACATATCTCCCGTTCCGAACTGCGATACGAGTGATGGGCGACTGTACTTTTCACACGGGACAGCGACCTCCAATAAACGGCTTTGGCGGGCAGTGTGACAGGCTAAATATTTTCCGGGTGCCAACTTGGTGACATTTAAAGCATGGAAATGTACGCATCTCTCCTGGCAAGCCGGAATCCACCTACACATAGATGGCGTCTGGACGTTTTTGGGTCCGCTTGATACACTCGTTGCGTGCCTGTGTACCTTTCACACCGAATCCATCTTTGTGTTCATGAAAGCAGGCCAGACATTGGTGGGTACTGAATTACATGACGTTGTCGGGCCGTGAACTTTGCAGAATGTTGTAACGTGAGACAAAACACCTCCGAATGTTCCTCCGGATTGCAGCGTGTCTGCATTATGACTTGAGTCAAAGACGATTTGTGGAAAATATGTCCTAGCCGATTTTTATTCTTTGGTTTGGGACTGACTGGAATGATACTGTGGACTCATTAAAAATGAGTTTTACAACACGTATGCGTTGTCAGCTGTATTCATTTGTAGTTTAATTTTTTTGACTTTTGAGTTGACTTGCACTACTTTTAACTTGTGGGACAGCTCCCTTTAAACCCCCCCCTTTTTTTTTTTTAAAAATACTATTTTACATTACAACCAGATGTCTGAGGCTATAATTTTGCCTGCTACATGGCCAAACCTCAAGTGACGTGTGTGTGCTGAGTACGTAGTAATTAGTTAGTTGGCCCAGAGAAAATAAACTCCGAAGAAGCCCGCCAGGAGCCACACTTGGGCACATTTCCTGATCGCATTGATGGGAACGTGCGACCGTTTGCCGTTATTTACTTGCTTGTCTGAGTGTGTGTGTGTGTGTGTGGGGGGGGGGGGGTGATTCATGGAACATTGTTGGGATGTATTACGGAAAGTGTATGCTTTAAAAGCTGGTGCACAAATATTTAGGTGTCTGTAGTGCCCACCCATCAAGTGTGAAATGACACAATCAAGTAAATGAATGACTGAAAAACATGCCTGTGAATGAGCTGTTGAAAATTTTTTTTGTCACATGCCAGATATTTGACATAATCCTCTAGCCACACGATTCCTCTGCACCATAAATTGAAAGTACGGTTTGGAGAAGATCCAAGAGCCACTTTTCAACTTCGAGCAAGAGTTCAGACCTCCGTCCAGGCTCGCCACCAAATTATACACTCACCGGCAGTCGTGTGTTTTCTCCCGAAGTCGACTTTGACTTTAATTACAGAAGTGTTCCGGGTTGTAAGGTATCTCTTGTGCACCCCATCCCTTCCAAGTCACCCGACACGTTCTATTGGTTTTAGGTCTGACGTTAGGCTAATTCTAAAACTCTTCTTCCATCGAAACCGTTGTTGATTTTGGATGAATGCCTGTTCTGCAAACTCCTCTTCATCAGACATGTTGAAGGTTTGTTATTGTGCTGTTTGTTGACACAGGGATGAGATGATTAATACAAATATTTCTTTTCTTTTTTTTTTTTTTTTTTTTCCTTGCTCTTTCAGCCAAGAGCTTTCGGGCAGGATCTTCTCTCGGAGGTGTTTCTGCGAGGGAACCTCATTGAAAGTGATTACTTTGGGCTGGAGTTTCAGAACATGCAGTTGAACTGGGTGTGTAGGTCTATGTCAACGTGCGCGCGCGTGCACACACACACACACAAACACACACACACGCACACGCTGTGAGCAAACTGTCAAAGGCAAACGGCATTTCAAAGGCTTGAAAATTGACTGTTTGCTGATGACAAGAAAAAATGTGATGTATTTATACTGCAAACAAAAGCATACAGTAAATTATTTCAAATGGCAAGCCAAAAGGTCTTGGTGGATATGTGTCCCAATACTTTTGCCTGTATAATTTGTGCTGGTGGTCATCTCAAAGTCAACTAACTATCTGTTTGTGTCCATTCAGCTTTGGCTGGAGCCCACCAAACTCATTGTGAAGCAAGTCAGAAGTAAGTTTGAATAACATTAATATGAACTTCATAACACCGGATACAGCGCAATCTCATGTTTTGTTTGTTTTGGTTGTTTTTTTTCCAGGACCCGCAAATTCGATGTTTAGACTGGCTGTGAAATTTTTCCCCCCGGACCCTGGTCAGCTGCAGGAGGAGTTCACCAGGTCCCGAAATTACAAACTTATAAATCACAACAATGAATAAGCCGGCTCTGGACTTGACTTGGCATTGCACACACAACCTGATGCTGTTTATTTTGACACGAAACCTGTGTTTTATTATTCCTTTCCTTTTTTTTTTTTTTTTTTTTTTGTAGGTACTTGTTCTCCCTGCAGATGAAAAGGGATTTGATGGAGGGACGCTTGATCTGCACAGAAAACACCGGAGCCCTCCTCGCCTCTCACCTTGTCCAATGTAAACTTCAAAATCATTTCGTTCTTGTGAGCGTAGTCCCGTTGTTTTTTTTTTTTTTTTCCCTGAAATTCCTGTTCGATTTTTAGCATTAAAATGATCACATGCAGGAACTATAGCCATGGCCTTTATGCTAATTAAATGCTAACCTTTAAACCTAATACATATCAATGTATTAAAATATTAAATCACTGTCTGAACACAATGAATGGGAAAATCTCGTCTTTCATCCCCAGCTGAAATTGGCGACTACGACGCGGCCGCTGACCGAGACTTCCTGATGAACAATAAGCTGCTGCCGTACCAAGAGAAGGTCCTGGAGGCCATTGTGGACTTCCACCGCAAACACCTGTAAGAATTTGGCCTCATGCCGGTTGCCCCTTTACAGCTCACATGGTGCCTTGTTGGTTTTCCGCTTTGCTTTACTTTGCTGTGACAGCCGGAATGTTGAAGCCGGAACTGGAATTGAACCCTCCGCACTGTGAGGTCGACGAGCTAACCACTGGACCACCGTGCCGCCCTATTTAGCATCTATTAAACGCAAAATAAGGCCAATGACGTGTACCCGTATACACTTTGTATTTTAGTTACGCCTATATATTAACTTTCTTCATATTTCATAATATATATTTTGCATGGTTTTAGTTATTTGACTGTTTTTGCTTTATGCAGTGACCTTATTTTGCATCTTTAGTTACTCAAGAGTGCATTTGTGCACTTTTCCCAGCGCCATTCTCCTCCAACAGTGTCTCTTTTCAACACTGTGCACTAGTTTGCTAATCTCTTCCCTCGCTTGCCAGAGTGGAAGTACAAGCGGCCTAATCCCCCACCCCATCCTCCTCCGTCTCCCTCTCTGTCTTCGGTCTATTAGCCGTAAGGCCAGTAGGGCAGCAGGGGAGGGCCCTAAGGAGATTTAACCGCTTAAACGGATCGCCCAAATTAGAATATGGTCATTATTGGGTGGATATGTCCTCCTCGCACTGCTTTTTCTTTATTTTTAATTTTAATAATGGCGCTCGCATCCTGGAAGCCCAAATCATTTTTAGTTGGCTGTACTTCACGTAAAGGTCAGCACAGGCTTACTGAACACTTGCATTCTAATGTGGCTGGTGACTAAGACAAGTGAGCAACACCCTAGAAATTCACTAGCAACCCCCGGTAACTAGGAAAACAGTTTCAACTAGTGACATGAAATGTGATGAGCATGTCTGTCAGGAGTGGAAAAAATTTCTAGGATCTATGTCTCAAATTGAACAACAGGTTGCCCATATTGGTTTGAAGCAGCAATTCTGTGGTGAGTTCCAGAGAGTTCATCAATCGACACAACATTGCATGGACGTCATAACAGTCCATCGTAACAGGATGTTCAAAAAAAGTCTGAAGGAACCCCGGGCCTGAAATTGAACAGGAACTTATCCATTTGGGTTGATATTGTGACAAAAAGTGGTTCAAGTTCTAACCCCTGCAGCACTCCGTTTATTATTGCCCAGTTTGACAAATGCAGGCATGTGGAAAACTCATTGTTTGTTGCCCCCATTCAGTGGCCAGACCCCCGCCGAATCAGACTTCCAAATATTAGAGATCGCACGCAAGCTGGAGATGTACGGCGTGCGCTTCCACCCGGCGGCCGACCGGGAAGGCACAAAGATCAACCTGGCCGTGGCCCACATGGGCCTTCAGGTCTTTCAGGTGATCTTCCGTTCACTCTCTCTGTCACATGTTGTCCGGTTACAACGAAACTCCTGCCTGAATACACCCGTTTTTGTTTTTTTGTTTGTTTTTTTTTTTTTCAGGGCCACACCAAAATAAACACCTTCAATTGGTCTAAGATTCGCAAGCTGAGTTTCAAGAGGAAGCGCTTCCTGATCAAGCTCCACCCAGAAGTTCACGTACGTATCAAAACTCACAGATGACTGATCTCAGGTCAGATGCGATGGACGTGGTCTCTCTTTTGGTTCCAGGGCCCACATCAAGACACTCTTGAGTTCATGATGGGCAGCAGGGACCAGTGCAAGGTCTTCTGGAAGATCTGTGTGGAGTATCACTCCTTTTTCCGTCTTGTGGACCAACCCCAACCAAAACCCAAGACCATACTTTTCACCAGAGGCTCTTCTTTCCGATACAGGTACGCTTGGATTAGTTTTTTATGCTACCTTTCGCTAAGACCCTCGAAAACCAAATGAATATAGGCCCTGGTGAACACTATTTGGTAGTCCGCGATCCATCTTATTTGATTGTAAACAAAATCGCTAACATTGATGTGAGTGAACAGTGATGTGCTAACTAGGCTAGCTACATGCTGCAGAGAGCTCGGAGGGGACAAACAAAGAGCTCTGCCTTAAAAATTACTTTGGCAATTGGTCAAGTCATTGATTGTAGTTTGTTCCTTCCAGTGGGCGGACGCAGAAGCAGCTTGTGGAATACGTGAGGGAAAACGGAGCCAAGAGAACACCGTATCAGAGGTGTGTGTTTCTTTCAAATTAACCGTGAAGTTTGCTTCCCTCTGGATTGTCAGATGATCCCACAATGTCTTGATCATACCGCTGATATTCTGCAGGAGGAACAGTAAAGTACAAACGTCGTCTCGCTCCTTTACCATCGATGTGCCAAAACAGGTCAGTCCGTTTGGTCTTCATCGGAAATGAGATTTTTATACTCTATGCATTATGGAGCCAGAACATTAGGTACAGCTCCTGTCATGAGATTCATTATATTATCCGCAAACAAAGATAAATCTTGGAGCTCTTCACAGTCAGAGATATTTTGAAGAGCTCTGAAGCACAACGGTTTTTGGTAGAACTGTAGCTTGAAAAGTAGCTTTGTGTGGGGTTTTTTTTTTTTTTTTTTTGGTTTTGTTTTTTTTTGGTCATCACAACATGTTGTGCTGATCGCAGAGCTTGTCGTTCAACGACCGTCTGCGGACGCCGTGCTCCCATCCCTCGTCCTCGGTGTCCTTCCTCTCGCCGCACATCTCCAGCGTCGTCGGCCCGCGAAAAGACCACCCAGCTCACCACCACCCGCAGCAGCCGCCTTCACCCGCCATGCCGCCCTCTCCGGCGTCCCCTCAACAGCCGCCGCAGCAGCAGCAGCAGCCCAACATCCCTCCGAAGGAAGAAGCCGTCAACGGCGGCAATCCCCCGACTCACTACTCTTTGTCAGGTGCTCCCACCACCGCTCACTTCAGCCCCGCGTTTGTCCGTGTCGAAGGCGTCATCCCGCAATTGCAAGCGTCCAAAAATGAGGCGAGTCAGCCTTTTTCTAGAAGGGCAGGCAGGAAGGGGGTTCTCACGCCCGAAGCTTTCGAGGCTGAGCTTTTGCGTACCAAACAAATGTTCTCGCCGCTGCGCGTCACCGAGGAGTTCATAGACGACGATCCCACGCAAATGTCTTTCTACGATGGTCGGGTGGAGGCCTACCCTTACGGACGCAATGACAATGTGGAGCGCGTTGATTACGAACGCGAGTCGGCTAAGAACGGGCTCTTCAGCGTGGGTCTCGAAGACCTCAACGGCAGCGTCAACGCTTTCCCTGACAGCGCGGTGGGTCATTCCGAGACCAGCTCCTTGCTCAACAACCGTTCGGAGTGCAGCTCCCTGGACAATTTAGGGCTCAGTTCTGCGGGCGAGTCCATGTCGGCCGCTCAGGACTCGGCGTCCTCGCTGCGTCTGCCCGGCTCTGACGTCCAGTCGGAGGCCAGCTCCATGGTCAACTTCCCGGCGTGCTCGGTGCGCTCCGAGAGCAGCTCGGCGGTGCAGTTCAGCGACTTGGTAGAGCAGCTGGAGCAGCTCAGCTACCCGCCCACCGGTACCGAGGGCTCCGGGAACGGCACCTCCGACTCTGACTCGGACTGGGGCTCGGACAGCGTCCTGCCGCCAGAGCAAAATCTGTTTTACAGCAACGCTCTCACCGGGAATGCCGGGATTGAGAACTTTCTCCTTCAGTGCCATAACCTGCAGGCCTTGGCCTTAGCAGACCCCCCTGGACCTGCGCAAATTTAGTTGAAATTCAAACAAAACCATAATGTTTTGAGAATTAGGGAACACAAAAACGCTGTTTTTGAGAACGCAAACGGGTCTCTCAAGCCACAAGATTCAGGAACATTTCGATCTTTGTACTCGAACGGCAAGTCTTGGAGCTAAACGAAGTCCAATCTGGCACTTCAGATCCCAGAACAACCCCACCAGTCATCTTGTGGCCCTGAATCTAAGCGCCGACACATCAAGGGCCTAAAACTGTCGATTTGGCTGTTGGTTTAGAAAAGTAAAACAAAAAAAAGTTTTGGATCCTGAGAATGGTTACTGGTTGTGAGGTGAACTTTGCTGTAGTAACTCCCAGACCTACCTGGACCGACGTAAATTTTGTGGCTATTTAGATGAGTAAGAAATAACATGTCACTTTGGCTGATATAGTTTACACAGTAAATGCTGTTTTGGGCTCAAAAGCTGCATTTCCGCCGAAAGTTCTTGGAACTTTTATTTTTGGCACTTATCTAGTAGTTCCTGGAAGGAAAAAAAAAGGTTCCGGTCAGGTTCTTTGGTGCAGCAGTCACCTACCCCTAATGGTTCCTGAACCCTGGAAAAGTACTACCGCTTCGAATGGTCTTTTTTTTTTTTTTTTTTTTTTGGGCCTGGAACTAAAGTCTGAAAAAAGTCCCCATGCTGCAGACACACTTTATCCAAAGTTCCTGGTCCTGGGGCAGCGTTGCTGGTGGCCATGATTGAGCCCACCTGGACCTGGTAGTAGGGCATCACAGGTTTCCGCCCCACGGTGTTGATATAATGTAGCCATGAAGGTTTGTTGTATTCTTGTTCTGAAACTGTTACCGGACCTGTTGGTTTTAAAATGTGCGTATACATACTGCTACTCCTCGCATTATTCTACTTCCTGTGGTTTGTAAAACCTGATCGTAAGAGGATGGCCGATGTCTCATCCTTGGTGCTCCTCGGTTGTGAATTAGGGAGTTTTAGGGTGGAGTTGGAAACACGGCAGCCGAACTTTCTTCTCCTTAACTGCTACATTCTTAGACTGTACATAGATCCGCATGTTGTCGCCGTTGGACTAATTCCTCTCACGTCCAAAATCACTACTTTCAGGAATTAAAAAAAAAAAAAATGCCAAGTCGCTTAACTTACCAAACACGTTCATGTTGATATTATACCTTATTTTGCTACCATTATATATTCTGTAAATAATTTGCGTTCCTGGCTGACCGCTTTCTTCTGCACCGAAGAATTACAGCTTTCCAGGAATTCAAAAAATATGCCATGTCGCTTAAGTTACCAAACACTACATCGTTCATGTTGATATTATACCTTATTTTGCTAGCATTATATACTCTGTAAATAATATGCGTTCCTGGCTAACCGCTTTCTTCTGCACCGAAGAATTACAGCTTTCCATTTTTAACAAAACATGCTTACTCAAAAGTTATTTTCACTCATTATTGTCTTTAACGTTTAGTCTTGCGGCAACATCAAACTGCACGTCCCCCGCAGAGTCAGGCAAAAGGCGGAAATTTACGGCAAAAGTTATTTTCACTCATTGTCTTTCAAAAAAAAAAAAAAAAAATTAATCTTGCGGCAACATCAAAATACACATCCCCCGCAGAGTCAGGCAAAAGGCGGAAATTTACGACTTATGAGACAGTTCGAAAGAGTTAATAGATTTCTTCTTTAACTATTTTCTGCACTTTAAAACGGTAAATGTCAAATGAAATAGACGTTAGTAGGACATCACAGGTTTCCGCCCCACAGTGATGATATAATGTAGCCATGAAGGTTTGTTGTATTCTCGTTCTGAAACTGTTACCGGACCTGTTGGTTTTAAAATGTGTGTATACATACTGCTACTCCTCGTATTACTCTGCTTCCTGTGGTTTGTAAAACCTGATCGTAAGAGGATGGCCGATGTCTCATCCTTGGTGCTCCTCGGTTGTGAATTAGGGAGTTTTAGGGTGGAGTTGGAAGTAATCGCATTGATCCTTCACTGACACCTGCTGGTCAAAGCAGCTGTTGTCTGAGTTCTCTTCCCGGGACTCTCGGTCACTGCTTAATTTGGTTCATTGAAGAATATCGGCTGCTGACGAGCCATTTTGTCCCTCGTGAATGTATCCGCATAGAAGATTCATTGTCAACTTGTAGATGTGACGCTCGTGGGTCATCGTGTACCACTGGTGGGTCACAAAATGTGGCCTTCAGGGCCTATTCAGGGCGTTGGCACGAGTTCATTTCAGGGGTTTCTTTGCATGCTATTTTTTGATTGTCTTCATAGAGCAAAAAATCGTGGCCTCTCCCCTTATAGACTCTTTTGAGAATATTTTCTTCTTTCTGAAGGTCAATTTTTGTCTTCTTTTTTTTTGTGCAGGCAGCACTTGCGCTTCTGTGCCCTCCGAGCACTTCTTGATGTCAGGTGTACGTTTTGGTACTTCGTAGGATGTTTACAGCCATAATAATGTCACGATGACGGAATCATCATTTCCGCTTATTGTTGCTCACTTTGAAGTTAGGTGGCGGTACGGTCGCTTGTGTTCCATCGGCGCATCACTTTTTTTTTTTTTGTCTTTCTTGGTGCCCTCCGCACATTTAATTCGTGGCAGTGGGTATTGAAAGCCAAACCCCGTTGAAGTACATCAACTTTTTCTGATGTTGAACGACACGATAAAAAGTTGTAACCTGTACAATAACATTCATAAAATAAGTTGGTAGGAAATATTGAAGTAGTTTTGAAGTGCTTCAAGAAAATATTGAATCACAAAATGTATCTTTTTAATTAGTGGGTCATTGATCTTTTCTTTCCTCCCATCTAAAATTTGTTTTGATTTTAAAAAGTACAATACTGTAGGTTTTTTTCTCGATTAGTGAATTCCTTTTAAAAAAAATAGTAATTGGTTATTTAACCAAAAAGTTTTTCATATTTTCTACCACATAAAAAAAAGTCAGCCAAACTACTATTTTTGCCGTGACTTTTTAGAAAAGATTATTTGTGCTTCTATTTTTCTAAATTTGAAGAAAATAGTCAATTGCTAATTTACAAAATGTTACTATGAAAATAGTCTTAACACGCTGCCAGACTTTTTAATTTTCTGGCATGTAAATATTCTGCCGAATAAAACAATTATTTACAATTCAAGATTTCTCCAATCGTGACTGAATTGTACTGGTTATAATTCATTCATTTTATTGCAGTCTCGTTGATGTGAAAATGTTGATCCATCCTTCAAACTCACTTTTCCATTCCCACTGTTCGATTCTCCGCGGTGGGGCTGACGCGTACTCCATGCGCGTACTTAGACGTCGGTTCCGCACCGCAACCGCCGTCTAATCTCCAACACATGTGTATTTTAAGTCCAAATGTACTTTTAAATGTTGTGTGTATGTTTCTCTCAAAAAGAATAAAGACAAGTACCACACGTGTTGGACTTAAACATTCTTTTTGGAGATACCTGTAGAAATCCACTTATTCCACCACAAATGTATTTTTCCACCGTTGATAAAAACCCAAACCATGCATCGTAGTTTCTATTGCAGTTAAAGACGGCAACAGGATTAACTGGATCCTAGATTTGTGGGGGTGCGTGCTTGTGTTTTTTCTATTTGGACAAACTTGTAGCCAAAGTCAGCCCCCCCCAAAAAAAAAAAAAGTTGTCCCTCCCTCGTGTCTGGTGCAGGCCCGTTGTAGATAAACTATAAACCACGTCACACATGGGCACATGCGGGCGTGTGCGATGGTCGTGTCATATGATTCATGTGATTGCTTCCTTGTGCTAACCGCCACCGCGCACAATAGAAAAAAAACAGAACGTCGAGAATAATAAGCCACAGTTTAAATATAACAAATACAAGGCCGCGCCATACGGGTGACATGCACTGGAAGACATGAAGTGCTTTCGTAAACAAATGCTCGTGTTGCTGTAATTGTTGATCTTGACGGGCATTAATGAAACACAATATTTACGTCATTGCTCGTTTGTTGAAAAAAAAAATGTGGAAATGACCCTTTATCGTTGTCATTTTGTGCAGACATGGCGCTGGACAGCCCCCACCTGTCCCGCTTCGAAGCCGCTGGCCCCCTTTCCCTGTCGCCCTCCTTCCAGATGTCCACACTCAGCCTGCCGGGCCAGGCCGCCACCAACGTCTCCTCGCCCCTGCAAAGCCCCATCCTGAGCGAGGTGGGCAGCAATGCCAGACTAGAGGAGGAGGAGGAGGGCAGGAGGAAGGTATATGCCCCCCCCCTGATCTGAAATCAGAAATTACATATCTATTGTAGAAGACTTGTATGAATAAATATGAATTTAATATTAAGCCCTTTCACATACACTCGTGCCTTGAGATACGAGTGATCCAAGTTAGGAGTTTTTCAAAGTAGAAACTGTCATTCGAACAATTTTCTTTTTGCTTCGCGATATAAGCGCCGCGTGGTGTCAGTGAACCCAACTCGGCCATTTGGCAGATTGGGAACTATTTTAACTCAAAAGACTCGAAGCTGTTTGTTGCCACTCCCAGTTGAAGTTTGCTGTCAAACTCGTGTAAAACCGTCGTTTGTATTTCAAACAAAAATAACTTGGCGCCGTAATAAGTGTTGCCTTATTTAGCCCTCAATTCTGGTGAATTGATTTAATAAATCCCCCCAAAAATATTTGGAAATGACCTATATTATGTTGAACATTTCTATTGTCTTAATTAGTACATTGAAATGATATTTAGAAATGTTGGAACAGAGGTATGCACTTTTTTTTTTTTTGAAAGATTATTATTATAATTATTATTAACATATTATTTGCTCCTCAGAGGTATCCCGCCGACAAAGCCTACTTCATTGCCAAAGAGATTTTGACCACAGAGAGAACCTACCTGAAGGATCTGGAAGTCATCACTGTGGTGAGTGGATAAAATAAGGCAATATGGCCTGAAAATAACATTGATACCATTTCGCCAAAAAAAAGACTACTTTTTTTCCTCACAGAAATACGAATTTTTTTTCTTTTTTTTCCTCCTCACAATTTCTAATTTCAGACCCCCACCACCCACCGCACACACCC